CTCCCGAGATCGAGAGGAAGAGTATAAAATTATATCCCACTTAAAAGAGGGGAAAGCGACGTGCTTTAGAGCTAATCAGAGATAATTTTACGGAGCTTCTTTCGTGCGATAATTTCTAATCGGGAAATAAAAGAGAATTGTAGTAAACGCGAATTTTAATTCAATCAACAAATATATATTTATATTTATCGGACGTGTTTTTATGACGTAAGATGATGGTCGGAGAGCCGTCGCGTCGGCCAGATATTATTACTCGTGGAATGTGTGTTTCAGAAAAACCGCTGAATAGAGGATGCGCGCGAACGCCCGAAAATAGTCCGGGTACGACGAACTCGCGCGCACGAGTATACATAAAGGCATGTGCACAATGCCAGGGCCCAACCGGCCATCCGATACCGCTCCCGGTTGTGCGTGTCACGATTGCGGTCAGTGCTCACGTAACGCGCGTGCGTACACCTACACGCACGCACGCACGCACGACAGATACCGATCGACCGACAGACCGACCGATCACTGATACCGTTATCGGCGATGCCTTCGCCGAGGGGCATCATCTCGAACCGGTCTCCGATTTCGTCCTTACTCCTAGCCAAGCTCTTATTATGCAATCGATTCGCGATTCGCGATAACGCGCCAAACAAGAAAGAGGAAAATTTTATTTAAATCGCGCGTATCGCGACATCAGATTAGATTCCGAATCTTCGTCTTTATCGATCTAAAGATCTAGATGCCTAGAGATTGCGTTGCTCGCGAATTTAACGAAGGCGAGCGATATAAATGACAGCGTCGAGGGGATTCTCGATGCGCGAGAAACAACGCGATCGATCGGGAACACCCGGTATAGCCGTATCATAGTCTCGTTACAGACACGCTTTGTCGTTACGTAATCGTGCGTCACGCGGCTTGATACGATTTGAAGAAGAGCAAGGGAGAGGCGTCGAAAACGGGACCGAGACAATTATACGAGACATTTTAGATCCCCGGAAGCACGGGATCGCTGATAACTCTCACGGTTACGAATCTTAAATGGTGTTAGTTTCAAAAATTTTTTATTTATTTTTTATTTATTTTTTTATTTATCTCTATTCTTTATTTATCTTTATCTATTATTTTTCTCCGTCATCGGTAAAAGAAAATTTTTGTTTTGGAAATTAATGCATTTTTTCTGTCTCTCTTTTAAAATTTATAATGTATTAAGACTTAATGAGCATATATAATTTAATGGTGATAAAAATCTTGATATAAATTTTCTTTTTTTTCCTCTCTCTCCTTTTTTCTGAAAAAAAATATAGACGTCAGAGAGTGCATATTATTCATAAACTGTTTACAAGCGATGGACGCTTTTTAATCGTCGCACGTTTCGACGAGATCTCCATCCACGTGAGATTCTTACGACGCGTTTCGCCGGCCTTCCCCGTTGACACGTGACACGAGCGGATAACGAGCGAGGCCTTTGCGCAAAAGCATTTATCCTCGTTACATAATGCACGCGACAGCATCGTTACATGATCGACATCTCTTCTCCTTATTTTCCCGCGGGCTCCGGAAAGGTTTACCGTAATATCCGGAAAATTATTATTCTTACCGCAATAATTATGCATCTAATAAAATTGTTAACAAGGAAGAGAAAAAGGATGTTTCAGAGAGTTTCCAAGCTTGCGTCGACTTTGAAATTTATCTTCAAACGGACTCGAAATAAATCGCAATATAATTTATCTAATTATGTAAACTTTGAGATTGTGTCATAATAAGGTTCTTGAAGATCCGGCCGGCGGTGTGAAAGTCGTTTAAGAAACAACGCGACGTATGTGTGTGTGTGTGTGTGTGTGTGTGTGTGATGCAACTGTTAGCACATAGCGAGCATACGCTCTTGCAATTTGCGCGGCGGCTTCGCCTTGTGTTGTGTTGCGACCGTCTCGTCCGCCACGTGACTGCAACACGTGCAGGTTGTTATGTTAGACCGTTCACCTTCGTTGCATAATACGAGCGGGAAAAGGTCACCGTTCAACGAACAACGGAGTCTGATATTTGCTAATATGATCGATATAATAAACCAATCGCGTTATCGCCCATCGGAATTTCCTCGTTCCGTTTAACGCTCCTGTTGCGCAATTCCCACGGCAACAGCGTTAAATTCTCGCGAAATCGACATCTGCGATCGATATTCATCGAAATCTTGCGAAATCGAACCGTTCCGTAATTTTCTCTTTGGATGAAAATTTCAATACGTCTCGTTGCGAGAGTTTGACAGTTGCATTGCCCGCGGAAAGAATGACATCCTACCGTGACGAGAATCGTCGATATCGTTTAAATAAGAGATAGAGCTGCGCACAAGACAGATATAAGGCGCGTTGCTCGCCCATTGTTCCTCTCTCTCTCTTTCTCTCGTGATGTAGCGATCGATAAACGACCAATGATGCAACGTATAATCTACAATATCCGAGACGCGCGACGACACATTTGATATGGCCGGTATATCCGGTTGATACGTAACATACACACATGTACGCATACACACGAGACAAGTGTAACTAGCAGTAGCTGCACTTGCGAATGTAACACCTGCGACGACGTGCATTTCCTCGCAACGCAGATACCGCTAATCCATTCTCCGATGCGACTACACTCTATCCAACAATAATCTAGATTGTCGGAGACAATTATCTCGAGAGATAATGTTCCTTCACGGAATTTTTTCACGACGATTAATACAATCGAAATCTATAATTGGAAAGCTAGTAGATGGATTCGAGTGCCGAGAATATTTTCTCTTTGTGTATTGCTAAGTAAATACACATCGTCATCGAGTTATTCATTTATCGTAATCTTCATTATCAGTGAACTAAGTTACTTTAGCCCCTGATACGTTATCGGCAACTATATAACTTATGTATTTATTTATTAGTTTAGCTGCTAAGTGATTATTATGATGTTACTCAACTTTGACTTTTGTTCGATTTTCTTTTCAATTTTTCCGTTTTTTTATTCACGACTAATCGAAAGATTTTCCACAAACGTGACCAGTTGTAGCTAATGCTAAGCGATTTTGCAAATGCACGTGTTTGACCTTCGACCGAAATCCGTCAAGTTTATTGCACGGATGATTTACGCTACAAAATTGAGAGAGTTTTGTAAATTGGGCCGTGGCCCACTTTGATAGAGCCGTAGTGGTACGCAGCGAAGGAGATCGATGAGAAAGGAGAGAGCTCGCAAACTTGGTACAACGAAAGGAGGAGAAGAGAGAGAGAGGGAGAGAGAGAGAGAGAGAGAGAGAGAAAGAGGGAGAAATATATTAGTATATTTTCATTTCATTTCGAAATTTCTCGTCTCGATGAATCACGATGGAGAAACGATTAAAAAATGTCATCATCGCTTTAATTTTGAATGTGCTTTAAATTGAAAATCAAAATATTTGCCGGATTAATTTTAAATTACGATTAATTGGAGTTTTCACGAAAAAAAAATTACATCGAGAGTATCGATTCTTTTTTGCAGCAAGTCGACGGAGAACTGAAAGGATAAAAATAAAGTCCGACCTTGATCCTTGATCGTGATGCATTTCGCAAACGTGTTGCGAAGGCGGAACATTGTATGCAATTGTGTCTTTTACGCAAATATATTAAACCACTCGAGCCGAATTATCGGCATATAATAAATTATATTTGAAAATAATTTCCTACTTTTTAGCTTGAAAATTTTATTGCTCCAACTTTTGAAAAGGTACCAAAAACCGACAGAACAAAAGGTGACACTCGAGAATAAAGTAGATTAAAGAAGTTGCTGGCGTGATTATGACATCAAATGTTCCTTGAATTATTTGCACTCGAGATATCTGGGTCTCGAATTTTTTGCTCGCGAAATAAGTTTAAGAAATGTATAACCAATTAAAATTTATATTTAATTTAATTTATATCGATTTATTTAAATAAAATAACTTTCATTTCGCGATCAGGATATCTTTAAAATAAATAATTCAGGAAACATTTCGATGTCATAATCATATGCGAGTAATTAATTTCTTTAAAGACCTTTACTCTTGTAGCATCGTTTGTGTAAAATCTTTTAAATCTATTCTGATAATTTAGCTTACATTTTAATATACCTCTTTCGTCGAAAATGTTCTTTCGAATCTCTCTCTTTCAAAAAAATGGACGCGCACACTTTCATAAATTCCAAAGAACCGTTCTCGCGTGTCCAAAGAGGCTCATCGTAACATCATCGGCCACTGCGTATTAATTGCATTTCTCGAAATCCGGGGACTTTATCTACCACCTTCGTTATTCGAGAGACCATGATTCAGCCATGAATCGACAGTCAGCTGATAAGATATGCACCGCGACCGGACACAATAGATGCACCGGTGATGATCACGTTCACGAACATCGCTGACGTTATTGCGTCATTCGAGAACGAGCTTCTTAAATCACCAATTATTCAGCAGTTTCGAAATAACGCGACAAAATTATAACAACAAAAAACAGATACGTAATCAGTCTTTTGTCAAATTAAAAAAAATCGGTAATATTTGGCCGTGCATTAAATTATTTCATTTTTCCGATATCAGCGACGCGTATTGATTTTTAAAGAGGAAATTTCACGTTAATGAAGATCTTGGCGCGAGAGCTGTCAAAACAGCATGCGAATCGTGACTCGAGCTTTCGTACGCGTTTCACCTGCCGGCAACACGTGTTCTAGGATGCATCCGACGTGACATCGCGTCGCGAATCAAATGCATTAAATCTCCAAGTGATTTTTATAAATTTCTTTTTTCTTCGTTATAATTTAATTTTTATAGTTTAAGTTTCCAGAATCGACATTTGCCAATATTCCTCTCAGACGCAATGTTTTTGAAACATTCACCGCCTCAAAAAATCGACCCAAGCTCTACACACGTTTCACTACATGGTTAAACATCTCCGGATTAAATTGACGCGAGATGAATCTTGCGAAACGCGAAATCATTATCCTAGAGAATGGGAGAGATTCGTCGAAATACTCACCAATTTTGAAAGGTTCCGTCGATCCAGAATGCACGATGCAACTGCGATCCACTTTGTCCGTCGACTCTATCGATACCCCTGACTTCCGCGTAGACAGTCAAATATACACGTACAGTTTCCCGTGATTCCACACACCGTAACTATCGCTAACGAACGAGATGAAAACGGGAACGCCACGCGGTTATGACCCCCCGTTCGTCGAACAGTCCCACGGCGACTGTCACACAACAGTCACGTCCTCCTAACACGAATCTCAACAACTACTCGGCGAGATGCGACGTGCGTATCACCGACACTTCCGATCAGAAAATTACGGTACACTACTCCGGGACGGAGATAATCTCCCAGTGGCTTCCTTCCTTCCCTTCTTCCTTCTCGCGGAGTGAACTCGAACGGAGAGGCGAACTTGAACTCTCCGTTCTCGCGCTTCTTATCTCGCTGCAGGTGTCGCGTACACTTCGCGAGCGTGTGTCAAATATATATATATATGTATGTATATGTATATATACGCGTCTCTTCGTAGATGGACTCTTGAACGCAAGTACGAGAGAGAGAGAGAGAGAGCAGAGGACGACGTACACGTCCGCTCGCTACCAGGTCGGGCTGCCAACTGCGCGCACCGCGCGAAACTCTGACGGCGACTGCCGTGCCGCCGTCTCGGCCCCAATGTCGTCTGGTTACGCGATGCAGAGAAGACTGTGACTGGCCGGGGTTGTCTCGCGCGCGCGCGCGTGCGCGCGTGCTGTGTCACTTCACACACACACACACACACACACACATACACGCGCGATACGTGGGCTCGTTCACGCGAACGCATGTGGCTCGCAAAGCGGTGGGGAAAGAAGGAGGGGAGGCTGAAAGAGAGGCCAGTTTACGCCTGGTTTATACTCGCGGTTTATGCGGCAGCCTAACCTTCCTCCCGCGTCCCTTGCCCACGCTCACCACCACCAACGTACCGCGATCCGCGACTGTGCGCGACTGGCTCCGCTTCTGCGCTGCGTCAGATTGTCTATCCCCACCAGGCGCCCGTCACCCGGCCCCCCACCACTCGGCCCGCTTCCCCCTCCACCTCCCGCGGCGGCGGTGGATTGTATCGTTCTGAACGGCGCGATTAGATTGCGTCGCGCGCGCGACTGCGACACAACTGTCACGTAAGTGATACAGAGTTGAAATCTCGCCGCACTTGCTCCGCATGAATGGCGGAATACCCTGATTAATTTCGAGAGCTAGATACAAATTTATTTCAATAGATTTTTTAATTGGAATCGACAGTCCCTCTCTGTCTATCTCGAGCGAATCTCTCCGTCGTATTTTTCAAGAAATTTCAAGTCCAATGTAATCGATCGATTTGATTATTATTTAAAACTCTTCGGGTATTTTCGGCATATTAGAGGAATTATTATTATGAATTTAGATATGTATATATCTTGCAAGAAAAGTTGTATATAGTATACTTTTCAATATGCAATCTCTTAATTTGAAAGCATGAAACGTATTGAATATTTGAAAAAAATAAATAATAATTTTATATGATTCTTTCTTATTTAATTTTGACGAAAAAGTATCTTTATTTCTCCAAGTCTTCAAATTTGAATAAAGTTATCATTAAACGTTGTGTACGTTTTATCTTTACATATCTATATGATAATGTAATCGCAGACTACTCTCTACGACAGTTAGAGAAATCAATTTCTTCGTATCATTCAAACATTCCACAAATTTTAAATCGCCGCTTTCGTCATGACGAGAGCGATAAAAATTTATTATTATAAAATCAATTTGCGTCAACGACAAGGACCAAGACGGTAGAATTTTACGCAGCAATAGACTATGAGTCGCATACACACACACACCTACACACAAGAGAAATATGACGTTTGTTCTTTGTCATTTGATTCGGTGTGAGATATCGTTATTATCATATCTTGAAACTAGAGCGGGAGACTGTAATTTTATAGCCCGGATACAAAGATTTTCCCCTATATATATGCGTATTCAGAGTATACCTTTCCGCCCGCGTCAAACTTTTTCGCGCGAGTTTGTTTTCGATGGCGCGTGGGCGAATCTCGCGACGATGCCGGCGACCTCTCGGCGCGCGTTTCGCGGCCATGCTGAAAAATTGATTTACGCGCCGATCGTCGATCGCTGATAAAACGAGCCCGTAACGAGATACGAGGAAAAAATAGAGGGGGAGAGCGCGAGGGAGAGAGAGAAAAGACACATACTCGGAATCACGTCGGCCGCGATCCAGCCAAAACAAAGAGCGGACCGCTCGATTCGGCCGGCCGGCTGGCAAGGTCCCTCTCGCCCCCTCCCCCGCTCCCGCCCCCATCGTCCTCCACAAACCGAATGCCAGACAACGAGGGCATCAGCCCCCGTGAATCACCGCCGGTCACCTTCACTTTTTATGCAACTTTCCGAACCCGATCTCGCTGCCTGCGCCTCGCGTCGCACCTTCTCCCCGCTCGTTATGAATATCCGTGCAATCGGTTCTTTTTATCGATGTGTTGTGTATGCGGCACGAAGGAGAATAAAGATGTCGGCGCGTTATCAAAGTTGCTTCACTAATCGTGTTTAATAAATCGTAGTCGTAAAATCCATCGAAACTTTGCGACCCACTCGACTTGCGACCCACTCAAGTGTCTTTTTTTCCCTTTGTTTAAAAAATTCCCTCCATATTATAATGTGTATTTTGCACAATTTTTATTATTATTATACATATATGTGCATGTAGAATTTTTAAAAATATACGTATACTTGTATACATATTTATATCCTACTTTTAGATGCGAAGTTTGATGGCGCGATTTACATAAATTCGCACACGCATAACGACAATACCACGTGTCCGTTGATGCTACGGTGGGCGAATTCGGTATTTCAAGGACACGCGCGCGTGCACGGATGTGCACTGCGTCGCTATCTCGGCACGCTGCAGTTTCGTGCACGTATGCAAGTGCGACGCGGGCCACGTGTATTGTTTGCGCAAATAATCCACGGCGATGAATCGTAAGTTATGGACGCTGAAAAATAACAGGTCGATAGTCGCTAAAAAAAAAGATCTCCAATTGAAAGACGCACGAGAGAATTATACAAAGAATAATAGTAATAATAATAATGATTTAAAAAGAAACATAAATATATATAAGTCAATAATTTAATATTAATTATAAAAATAATATCGCGCTTATTATCATTTTTATTGATAATACGTCACGATTTATTATCGGTGCGATTGTTTCTTTTGTCAAGCTGATATTTTAAAACTTGATTTTATTACGTAATATTCTCGATATGTTATACATCTACCTACGCATTCGTGTATACATCTATAGTATCTATAGTATCTATCGTATCTATAGTATCTATAGTAGGGAAATCAAAGTTGGGCTCTATGCGCAACAACTATTGGACTATGCGCAATAACTATTTCTAAACACAACGGCAGAGGAATCGTCGCCTTTACCGACGCATTTAACTTATTGCGATGCGTTACATTACATTACTGCAACTCGCGACCGACACGTGTACGCGTGGAATGCGTCATTGAAAAGTACGGGAAGAGCGTATGCCGGTTCAAGTACACATACGCAGTCACTTTCCTTGTGCAATCTGTAAATCGAGCCACGATTATTTCCTCGCTCGAAGAAAAGCACGATGCTTATCGCTAGATGTATCGAAATGACGTTAAAAAAACGTTGCGATTTATTTAAAATAAATATACAGATTGCAATAACGCGCTGCGCTGATTATATTATAATTAATTTAATATGATACAAATATAGTGCATTAGTATGCGTGTGTGCATAAAATTTTTCATTTAAATTAAAAATACTTTTCTTCGAGAGGGAAATGCACGACAGGGATTTTAATCGGGCAATAATTCTTGTTAATTTATTTAAAAATTTGATCGAGAAATCCATCTTAAAATCTAGATACTTATATTAAGATCGCGATAAATATATTCGTATATTAAACGCGATGTTAACGTTGAGTATATCTTTGTATACCAAATTATATACCTGGAAGCTCGCTGACGCAAATGCAGTTTATTATCATTGCGTGCATAATCTTCAAGGAATTGTCAAGCGCAACAGTCGGAGAAAGAGAGAGAATTATCCTTCGGGAATACATGTTTCTTAATCGCGTAGCCACGTGCTCGTAACGATAAATCTGCGAAGCATCTGGCGAGGAAGAATGTTGGAAAGCTAGATCAATTATAATTTTTCTCAACTCTTTCGCTCTCTCTTTTTCCGCCGCATTCTTTTTTTTCGTTCGCGTAAAAGTGCGTTTGATCCGCGAAAGCGCCGGTCATTAGCGACTGGCGTGTCATTTCGATCCGAGTCTCAGCGACAATGTGATAATTAAATCTGCTCTCCCCGCGGAAAACAATAGCGTCCTCCTTTCCCCCTCTTTCCCAGCGAGAAAATGCTCCATGCGCTCGTTATACGAGCGAAATCGCCGCGACGGTAATTAAACGCGATCGCGTTGAGCGAATTGCATACGCAATTAAATCCTAAGAGCGAATATCCGATCATTTTAAGATCCTCCATTGAGAGAGCTCGTCGAGAAGCGAATAAATTTATTAACATAAATCGTGACGAGAAAATAATTGAATCGTTAATTTTATAAATGTTCTCTCTCTCTCTCTCTCTCCTCTCTCTCTCTCTCTCTCTCTCTCTCTTTTACGATTTTCATAAATAAATAAATTTTCTCAGTCACGCAGCCTACTTTACAACTATGAAAGGTAAGAGACGAGACTTTCGTTCGCTCGGTCTTGATATATTTTTTTTTTATACAACTGAGATTGTGTCGGAGTTACTTATTGTTAGTGCGCGTCCTTAACGCTTAAGGAAAGTCGTAAGCGAGTGACGCGGGCAATCACCTTTCTTATCGTGGTCTTTAACGCGCAAGGCCGCGACGGGACCTCCATATCTCGATCTCGAGACGGGCTTTTCTTGACGAGGTTTCGAAATCCTCGTGCGCGATAGATTTCGTTTCTTCCGGATAAAATTATTCTCAATTAACGCGCGCGCGCATTAATTATGAACAAAGCCATTACATCTCGCGAAATACAATATAATATATAAAATAGAAAAAAAATAAAATGTTTTTAAATAATAATAATATTCTATATCTCTCGAATAACATTGTTTTTTTTCTGAGGACAATATATTTTTATTGCACACGCATATATATATATATATAAGATTCTCAAATATGTCTCGCGACACAGTAATGTACGCAAATGAGCAAATAATGCACGGTAATTGATTTGATTAATACATCTCGGTTGATTTTTCGTGACCGATTTCTTCCCTCTGTTTTTTTCGCGATTAATAAATTAAAAACGAAAGCTTCTCGGAAAGAAACGAAACAGAGGGGTACATGCTCGAGTTATGGAATATTAATATTATCTAAGAGCGTTTCTCCTTCTTTCTATTTAATCACGATGTGCGCTAGTTGAATTATTAATATACATATAGCGCGGGAGAGAGAGCGCATATTTTAAATGACCGCCTCGTTCAACAACAATCATTTCCTCGGCGCGGTTTGCTCTCTCCTTAACTACGTCGAGACTACATGGAAGACGTCGAGGAGAAAGTGTAACTGTTAAAGTAATAGTGACGACGTCGCTGTAATCGGGATTGCACGTGCAAACGTTTCCGATAGCTCGGCAAACTCGATTCCGTTTCTTTAATGTCTCTGCGTCGTTGAATCTAATTCCCTCGGAGAAATGGAGGAGAATCTTGAAGCAAAGTTTCTGGAACGCACGCGTCTGAAAGCGAGGGACTCTTTAATATATACTTTTAATCATTTATATCGCGATAATCATCCAGATATAAAGCTACGATTAACGTAACGTCGATTGCATTATTCGTTAATTAAGAAATAAATTCACCAAATTGAAACATCATCCTCCATTCTTCGACAGATACATGTAAATATAAATATTTTCTATTCCTCTCAAATTTTATACGAAAGA